TTGTTAAGCTGCTCCATACTAAAAGGGTTTGTAAAAATTATATTAAAATCAAATCAATTCAATCAATCTTCCAATCGAAATTTTAAATGCTGCTTAATATTTTTGTCGAAATTTTTATTTCCTCATATGAAATAAAGAAAGTACTGTAATAGCGAAAAAGTTCGGGTGTCATATTTCAAGGAAAATATCCACTTTGACCGCTCTCGAATTGACATAAATGATGTTTTTGCGTAATATCTGTACTTGCGGGCAGAATAAAGGACCCTTTCTTCCAAAACGAATTGTAATATTGATTTAAAATGGACTCGGAGGAGATTTTTTCGCGACGTCTGCAAGTACGTATGTATGTACCTCGCATAACTCAAACGCCAGTAGCCTCAGAGCGTTGAAATTTTGTATATTCGGACTACCAAAACATGTAGTTTTTTCCCCTCCGTTTTTGGTTGCAATCGACAGAGCCTAACGTGTATGTAGTATATATCCACTCTGTTATCCAGTTCGCTGAGCTCAGATTCTTATATGTTGGTAAATCGTGCAGTTTTTTCTTTAAAAGTGACTGAATTGTTGTTGTGTTCTGGTTAAGGCTTTTATGTCTTAATCGGATATTAATCCGCATGAAATTGTTGTAGAATTATCAACGATTTCATCGTTTTTTAAGTGGTACTAAGCCTAATGAGGCCGCCATTTGCTAACATTTGGAACATTTAGTAGAAATAGTGAATGAAGTCAGTTTGTGCACAAATTCCATCGTCTTTTTGCCGAGTAGAACCGAAAGTTAAGTTCTTGTGGATGTTTTTGTTTCATTGATTTTTATTAAATACATGCAATATGCATGTATTTAATAAACATTTAATAAATACTTAATAAAATTAAAAATTTGTAAATAACTAATATATATATTACTAAAGAAATATACTAATAAATATTGATTATATTATATCGTAATATAATTGTACACTGTTAAAAAAAACTGTAAGGTTACTAAGAAAGTCGTGGAAACTGGGATGCTGGACTATTAAGTAATCAAACAGGAATATTCTTAGTAACTTTACAGAGGTTATACCTGTAATGGTTACAGAGTTTGACAATGTAATGTTCCGGAAATTTCTGTAGGCAATAACAAAAGTTTTTGTTTGATTACCGAAGCATGTGTCTGTAAGGTTACAGATCTTTGATCCCGTTTATGTTACAGGAAATTTTCTTGTAAATATAACTGGTTTTCATATTGATTACCAATGTTACATCTGTACGATTACAAGAAATAATAGTGTAATAGATCGTAATTTTGTATGTGGATTACTAAAGGGAATATTCGTAGATTACTAGTGTTCTGCTTGTAAGGTTATTGCAAGTGATTATGTAAGAAGACCATGTATTTTCATGTGAACTATTAGAAGATATATATTTAAAAGTTGCAGATAATTTACTTAAAAGTTCTTCCAAATAATTATGCATATAGAATATATTTGTCTTATACAAAATACATAAATGATGTATTCTCAAATATTAAATATTTTGATTGTAATATTACTATAAATAATTACACATGTAGAACATATGTTTCATGTGAAATGTCTACAGCTACTGCTTGTAACAAAACATGCTGCATTTATTTATTTGTGGGGAAAGGGAAGTTATGTAACTTTAATTATTATTCCTTTAGTAAATACATTATTATTATCTTACTTTGCAGCTATTGCGCAAGTATTCGAAAAACTTGTTTTCGAACTAAGTGAATTTTATATCATTCAATATATATATATATATATTTGCGTGCGTACGGGTTCGTTACGAAATGAATGCACAAGTCGGATGAAAAATGAAGAAAATTTATTATTATCACAACAAATATGATTAAATGTCCTCAAATAATCGTGCAATAGCGCAATATATCACAGTAGTATCTTCTAACTACTCAAACGTTCAAGAGAACTTAATTCAAAACAGCTAAAGAAAGCTAATCCGCGAATTCGCTACAGTCAATAAGAGCAGTTTTCTAAGCAAACTCTTAAAACAACAACAAACTAACTAATCCCAGTAACAACTACGAATTGAAATTGAAATCGAGTCAATGGCTAGGCGGCAATTAGTAGCCAACCGCTACTTTAACCGTCTCTGTTGGTAAATTGCCCTAGGCATTGGTACTTAAGTTTTTAATTAAGGCGATTTACGCCGCGCCAACTAGACGAAACTTGTCAAATTTTTGTGAAATGTAGGTGGACTGGAGGGAGATGATTGACAGGAGCCTGTCACGTGGGTGGTCACCCACCCAAGTTCAGACTCCGAGCAAAGCAGCTTTGCAATGAGAAATATTGGATATATTAATAATTATCAAGTTTTGAAACAGGTTATCCAGATTGGAATAATTAAACTAATATCGCAATCTAAATGAAGACAAATGGCACAACTAAGTGCAACAGATTAGCTAAACAAAATATTCAAATCATCTTTCTGTAAACACAGATGGACGGTTGTAGTCACGTGGGAGTCACCCTCCCGTGAACTGCCACAGCCCAAGGCATCTTGAAATAGTAGATATCACATTCAGTGAAGTCTTGGTCTGAGAATTTAAACACTAAAGTTCTGTAAACACTGAGGCACATGAGTTACTGAAACTATACACTATGTCATATAGGGACGGCTTTTTTGAGCGAAGTAGCAAATGGTGAAAAACATTTTACACTAGCAATAAAGAACAGAGCTTGATTATTTTTGGATTTTTCCAATATTGATTTAGATTTTAAGAACCGCCGAAGAGATTTTTCCTTGCAGGAATAATTTTCTTCACCAATTATGAAATCGGAAACGGAGCCTAAGTTCTCACTTTCGACAGCTGCGTTTGATTGTGGATGAAGCATTCTGCTCATTAACATTTTCATTGCTATTTTAGGTTATGTTTCTTCTTGGCAGGTGGGAAAATTTTCTAAGTTGATATCAGGGGGATTATTTTTGAAGTTTTTCTCGCTCTTCACCAGAACAACAGAATCCAATGAATCATGAAGCTTTGATTTGGAAATTGTGTCCAAAAAATTCCGGGTGTGGTTATAATATTGTTAAAACAGCAGTAATGAAGGTAAATGAGGCAGTTATTATATACAACGAAGGTCAAGCTGGGCGATTACATACTAGGAATGAACTTGAATTACGAATTGGTGATAATGAAGTCAAGTTTGCAGCATACACTGACTAGCGTCGTATTCAGCCGAAATAAAGGCAGAGATGTCTACAATAGATGCTTGCAGAGCAAGAAAAGGAGCCAAACTTGTTGCAGTAACAGCTGTTGAAGAACAGGATGGTATGGTGTATGCAGCTGGGCAGTTTCAATTGTTATTTGAAAGAAAATGCAGATTGTTTTTTCTTTATAAAACAAATTCTTATACACTGTTAGTAAAATAAATCAAGAAACATAATTATCTATGTATAGAGATGACACACTGAAAATTTCAATTTATCTATGACCATAACAATTTGACTTATTAAAACTCGAATATCAGTCAAAATTATTACATTTTGTGTTGTGCAAAGGTGATGACACCCCTTAAGCCCAAAGAGGCGTTTTTTTTAACGTTTTATGTGTTACTTTTGTTTATCAAAAATATTACCATAAAATTCAAATCAACAGCAATATTACAAAATATTTAAAAGAGCATATCTTTAGAATTTCCGATACACAGTCTCGCGCGCTGGAGATAAAAATGCTTTTTTTTTTCGCACAGTTTTATCGTTCCTCGCTTTGAAATCGTTGAGTTTCTTACTCAAAAACTCATAAATGCTTTACAGAATATGAAATAGACAATAAAGCAAATTCCAAATTTGTGCTTCCAGTTGTCCGTATTCGATGTGGAAACGTATGTTATTCAAATTTTGTTGTTTCTAGGTACCGTTGTTTTATCACAGTGAGAGAAACATGCATACATTTATGAAGATTCTTTATTATTTGATTTCTTTAAATGTAATATTTGGTGGCAACAATTAAAAAAGTAATTCGCCATTTACAGTGAATCAACGCAAAATGTCATAATGAAATTAATAGCCCTTCTGGGCTAACGCCCTTTGGGTTCAGTATGAATTTATCATACTTGTAAAGCTATGGTAATGGAAGTAAATGCTATTCTACTGCTGGTTAAAACGCATGTTTTTTGACGTCAGCAGTTTTAATTGCAATTTAAAATTTTTGCTGTGTTCAGTGGCTCACATTTTCAGGAGATTCAGTAGCTTTATCTAACGTCTATGGTGATTTTCACTATTGCTATTTTTCGGCCTTTGGCACACGAATCTTTTTGTTGTAAAATAAATAAATAATAGATAAAAAAAAAAATCTGAAATGTTTCAGATTTTAAATTACGTCCAAAGGGGCGTTTTTTAACATTTTGTGTGTTACCTTTCTTTATTAAATATCATGTTCCTCGCACTTAAACCTAAGATCCAGTGCAACAGCAATATCGCAAAATAGTTTTAAAACGAGCCTATCTTTAGAATTCCGATACAGAGACTCACGCGCTGGAGATAAAATGTTTTTTCTGCACAACGTTGCCATTGCTCGCTTTGAAATCCTTGAGTTTGTTAATCAAAAATTCGTCAAAGTTTTTAAAAATAGGAAATCGATCATGAAAACAAATTTCAATTTCAAATTTGATCTTCCACATGCTCATATTCGTTGGAGGATTACGTTATTCAAAATTCGATGACTCTATGTACCGTTTATTTTATGACATGTGAGAAATATACATACATTACGCAGATTTTTCATTATTTAATTTCTTCAAATATAATGCAGGACTCTAACATTTTATGGCACAGTTGAAAAGTGAACCGACATTTATCCGTCCGACGCAAAATGCCAAAACGAAAGTAATAGTCCTTCGGGACTCAAGTCCCTTTGGACTAATAATAACAAAATTTAGAAAACAGATTCTGGCAATAGGTTTAGTGTTTTGAAACTTGAATAATGAAGCGTTTTGTTTAGATTGGTAAGAATGGTGTTGCAATCAGTAGTTTTTACATCATAATTTATGCAATTCAAAAAAATAAAATTAGGCCTTTCTTCTAATTATATAGAATTCCGTTTTGATCGTTTGCCTAAATCAACGAAATTCAAATGTCGCTTAAAGGTCGCTATGTAGGGAGCTATAAAGTTCAAGACATTTTAGGTCAAGGAAATTTTTCGACAGTTTATCTTGCTGTTCATGAACTTCTAGGAACTAAGGTAAGAGACTTAAGGCTTGTAACCAGTAAAAACGATGCATAGATGTGATTTTTATGTAGCTTAAATTTAATTTTTTAATTCACGTTAAACAAGCACAACTCATATATCAGCGTTTATATTGATGTCAATATATATATAAAGCCTGAGTAAAAACTTTAAGGCCAGTAAAAATTTTTGAAAAAAGGAAAACATTTAAACTGAGGAATTAAAATACCATTTGATTGATAATTATTGAGCTTAAATAAAAGTAAGAAAAGTATAAAAATTAATTTGCAAATATTTTATTATTAAAATATTACACAACACACAGATGAATATTTGAGTCTGAGTAAAAACTTTAAGGCCAACATAGAAAATAACATATAAGAAAAAAATTACAAATTCTTAGAAGGTTGTGTAGGAGCCATTTCTTCTAATTACTTCAAATATTCTTGTTTTTATGAATGAAACGAATTTTTGACAAAGGTTGGGGTCGGTTTTATACCATTCATCTTCGATAGTAGATTTCAGCTCTGTTGCTGATGTAAAATGTCTCCCATTTGCATAAACTCTTCTTACTAAGTCACCCCAAAGGTTCTCGATTGGGTTGAGATCAGGTGATCTAGGTGGCCATTTCACAGTTTCAACATTGTTGACTTGGAACCAATTTTCTGTGCTGTTACTCGAATGGATCGGTGCATTGTCTTGCTGATATTTCAAATTTTTTCCAGCAAGACATTCAGCATTTGGCAAAAGATGATTGTTAGGAACATTTTGGTATCCTTGGGAATTTATTCTACCTGAAACGAATGCAGTTGAGCCCACACCATTGTAAGCAAAACAGCCCGAAGTCATGACAGACCCTCCACCTTAATTGGCGCTTGGAGAATATTTCTTTTTCATTTCTTATATCATGCCAGTAGAAATTCCAGCCATCTGGTCCATCCAAATTCCATTTTTTTCCGTCAGAAAAAATAATTTATATCCATTGGTTGTCCCAGGTCATGACTTTCTGGCCAAAGTTCAAACGCTCTATTTTGTGTTCTCTGCAGTAACTGAGGCTTAGTCAATTTTGCTGTATAAGTGAACCTTCCAGACCGTCTAATTATGTTATAAATCGTTTCTTGACAAACTTTTAAACCTGTCGTCGAAATTAGTTTCCTGATTGAGTACTTTCCAGTAGATACAAGTTGGCAAACTCTTCTTTCATCACGCGAGGACAAAGCTTTAGGTCTTCTACCAGTATTCTTTTTTCCGTAATTGTCTTTCAATTAAAAAAATTGTTGACTACAGTCTTTGATCTTTCTATCTTTATGGCAATAGAACGACTACTCATTCCTGTTGAGGACAAAGCTTCAATCTCTCCTCTTTCACGATCAGTTAACTTCTTACTCTTCGCCATCTTCACAAAGATCACCAATACTTCGAAGAAACGTATGAAAAATATGAAAATTGAAACAAGCTAGTAGTTGCAATGGTAATTCACGATTATATTATATTTATTTTTAAAAAATGACTGATGGCCTTAAAGTTTTTACTCGGGCAGAAATACTATGTAAATAACCACATGTTTCTCATAATTATGTATTTACAAATTATGTTTATAGCATTTATTTCTTATCAGTGAACTTTAATAATTAATATTATTTGAATCCCTTTTATTTCATTTTACATTTTCTCAAAAAATTTTTACTGGCCTTAAAGTTTTTACTCAGGCTGTATATATACTGATGTACATGTTATAGTACATATGACCAGACAATATAATCAACGTATATTTACTTTTAAGTTGGGGTTCTAGTCTAGAAAGGGACACCTTTTGGATTAGGGTGAAATATCGACGCTGGTACCGTTTTTCTGGTAAGCCCTCGCTGAACACTGGTAGTTCTGTCTGGGGTTCGAATGCGGGCGAAGACGGCAGAAGCGTTTTCTCGGTTTTTCAATATGTGTAGCGTGTATACGAGTCAGCTTCCCTTAGAAAGTCTTTCAGGAAGGCATCTTTCCCTTAGGCGGATAGCATTAGAGTGCTTTGCCATAATCAAATAAATCAAACCAAACAGATTAAAAATAAAGACCGGATAAGGACTTTTGTGGGCACCTGTGAAATGAAATAAAAATTCTAATCTAAAGAAGGCACGTTATTAGAGAGATCTTATTCCTAAGCAAAGTAAGTAATTAATAAGCAGTGAATTCATAAGGTATTCTCTCCCTCCTTTCTTCATGCCTTCGTGGTGTAACAGTTAGCACACTCGGCGCGTATTCGAGAGGCCCAGGTTCGAGTTCCGGCGAGGGCATTGCTTATTTTTTATCATCTCCTGCTTCAACAAATAAACACCTAATGACTTTACGGCTAATCTTTAGAATATGGTAACAGGTAGTTTGGCTACATTTTGGTAAGGCGATAAAGGTTACTAGCTAGGACTTTAGCAATAATCTGAGAACTACACAGTTTGAATCACAGATTATTTTGTCTCAGAGAAAGGAGAGATTATGAGACATGTAATGTGACATTTTCCGGAAAATTCCGATCGTGATTTTAGCTAATAAGCACTTATATAATTTCGAAGCTAAAGTGCAGAATCGTCCAATTATTTGTTTGGCGTTTTTTACAAGAGTAAGAAGAATTGGACTTTTGTCAATTTTCTTTGACTTTTTAAGTGAAAATAGGTCGATGTGTACATAGATAAAGTCAAGAGTGTGCGCAATGCCATTTTTGTGCAATTCTGGGATGCTTTTTTAAGTGAAAATAGGTAGACGTGTACATGGATACCATGTATGTGCAATTCTTAAAAACGCGGCAAGCAGTTTGCCATTCTGCACTTTCTCCCAATTTCGCACCTAATCTTCGTCATGATTAAGCATTTTTGTTCCATAAAAGTTCTAGTATAAGCGTAATTCGGCTAGTAGATTGTTAGAAAAAATGTTGAGTAAAAAAAAAAAAAAAAAAAAAAAAAAAAAAAAAAAAAAATTGCCTTTACTTCGTGAAAACAAAATGGCTTCCAAAACAAAACTAGCAGGTTGCTGTAGCAGGGTTGGTCGCCAAATTTTCGCCAAAAAATCGCCAAGTTTCCATAATGTAAAGATTCACCGACTTTACAGTGGGGCCCAAACTAAATGGGTTGGTAGATGATTATTCTTCCCCACCAGGATTTGGAGATTGGGTCCTCTAATCCACAATTGCCCTTTAAAAGGACAGTATAAAGATGTTCTCTCCCTCTTCATGCCTTCGTGGTGTAATAGTTAGCTTATTGTCGTGTATTCGAGAGTTCCGGTGAGGGCATAAGCGGCCGAGCGGTAAAATCCCTGAACACTGGTAGTTCGGCTCGAGGTGCGAATCCCGCGAACGGGCTGGCTGCATGGGCGTCTTCGTGGTTTTCCCCATGCGTAACGTTATACGAGCCAGTTTCCCTTAGAAAGTCCTCCACGAAGGCATCCCTCTCCTTAGGCAGATAGCCCTAGTGTGCTTTGTCGTATTCTCAAGACACACCGGCGAGGGCATAGCTCATTTTTCACGTCTCCAGCATCAAAATAATTTAATGACTCTACAAATATAAAAATAGCTGCATGAAAACTTGCAGTATGGAAATCAAAGTCATGCCTGAAAAAAAGTCATAATTCGAAGAATTGATCAATATGAAAAATATCAGCAGTTACGAGTTTGGAATAAGAAAGCAATGAATTCTAAGACAATTTAAGATTGCTTCAGTAAGTCACTGAAAAAAATGTGATTGTAAAACTACTGTATTAAGGTTAGAATTTTTCAAGGTAATTATTTTATAAAAAATGCAGTATAAGTTTCTTTGAGCAATGAGTTGTGTGTGTAAGAATAAATGTATAATATAAATAAATTGAATTTTCATAAAATGTTCTGTTTAAAGCCTCTTTATTGTGCAATGCGTTAAATATTTTTTTTTCTTAAAAAGAGATGTTTCTTTGCCATAAATCGATCTTCATTTACCATATAAGCCAAATTTTCACAAATAAGATCATTATTTTTTTCCAGAGCTATTTTGTAACTTCCACTTATTCATTATAAATTCTTTTAAACCTTTCTTTTTTAATAAGTGACACGAAATTCACTTCACAGGTGGCTCTCAAAGTAATTAATCGTCATGACATCAAAGAAGAATACGTATCGCGAAATCTTGATAGAGAAGCTAGAATTCTTGCGCAATTAGACCATCAAAATATCATTAGATATTATGAAACGATAGTGGTAAGTTACGCTTTCTAATTTATTCTTGTTCAAGATTATTTTTTAAATGTTCTTTTCATTATAATAAAACAACTGTACACAATATTATAGTTAGATGTTTACATTATGCAATTTTGGGGGATAGAATTTATATGATATATTGACATCAATTAACTGAATTACTTCCCGGTAGATGGCATCACTGATTCTTGATACAGCAATTACATTACATTTTGATTGTTGATTTCGTTGATTTTGCAACTAGGCTAGCCAATAATCGGGGAGCACCCCTTTTTAAATGATTTTATTTATAGCAATTGAATAAAATGTTAATGAACTATCAAAAAGATCGCTCCGGATAATGAAACGACAACTGTAAATAGCAGCTTGAAATGAAAACTGGCAATAATGATATCAAAATTGAAGTCGATGAGAAAATGGAATAAAATAGATGGTTCTCCTCTTCTCCCCCCCCACCCAAGACTGTATTCTTATAACGTATTTCGCGAGAGAAGAGGATCCCTTGCGTTTAACTAATGTTAAAATGCCAAATTAATATGACTTTTCAGAAAATGCAGCCTCTCGGACCATAGGAAGTTGAAAGTCGATCAAAGTAAGGTGACCAGATTTTCTGGAGGGCAAAGCGGGATGCAGGGATCCAAATTTGGGTGGTGAGGGGGGAGAGGGCGGAAACCCCCCCTGAAGGTGAAAATACGGAGTGCAAAATTTTTAGTGAAGTCGCATTGTCCTGTAAAGAATTACCGATCATTTGCGAATTAGCGTGTGTGTTAAACAGACTCTATTATTGAAAGAAAAAATGAAATTTATCCATATCTCAGACTGAATCAATTATTAAATCAACAATCACGGACTTTGGGATCTGGACTAAGACAACTTAGATGCGCTTTCAGTAACAGTAAGAGCGAATAAAGAAAACAAAAAGCCGTCGAAAAATAAAAGTTTAACTTCCTACCTACCTTACTGCTTGAATGTGTCTATCAAGCGCATGACGCAGCAAATGTATTAATTCGACGCAGACGATGGGCCTTCCTGATCAGCCTTTGACCTAGAAGGATCATCCTGTATAGGTGTTCCGTAGACATATTTCATTGACGAATGAATGCTTCTAAGAAGTTTTCTCTTGTAGAAGTCTTTCATAGACCTTCATCACAGGAACTGTCAAACTCAAAATTGCACTTCACCATTAACATTTGCTTGTAGTGTTTTCAGTTTTAACTGTGTCTCTTCAGTTGTCCATATGATATTCATAGACGAGAAAACTCTTTCACTGGCGGCATTTGTCCCTGGAAGACATAAACAAAAACTCCACAATTTTCTGGATTTGGATTTCCCAAATTTGGATTTGCGCACATTGCACGTTTTTTGTCATTGAAATGCCGAAAAATTTTAACCCATCGACAGTCGAGACTAGTTTTCTGACAATTCCGATCTGAAATCTTTTGTTGTGAAGTAAATCGCCTAACGTAGCATACTTCTTCAAATAACTCGTTATCATCGATGTCAACCTTTGGAATCTTCCTCCCAAAACGTTGCACGCCCTCTTGTATGTTTTCGCACGACGGTGGCTCCTTTAACCCCTTGACGCGCGCGATATTATTTTTATAATTTTTTTAACTAAAAACTCTAGAAATTGAATATTATGATCCTAGAGACAAATAATATATGAATTTAAAAAAATCTACTCTTGCCCATTGTTCTGTGAGTGGTGGTCGCACTGTGAAACCACCGCGCGTCTAGGACTTTGAAACTTACTCGATGTAGTAGGAAAAAAAAACTTAACCATTTTCCGCGCGCGTTTCCAATAAATGACGAAATTTACGGATTTAAAAAAAAATGTATGTAAGAATTGCATTATAATAATATTTTTACATTATTTAAAAGTAATCGTCAGAAAAAATTAAAAAATAAACTTTATGTAATTTTTCTATAGCAGTGAAAATATAAGTACCTACATAATAAGGACATTTGGATAAATGGATTAAAAAAATCAATAAAATAAGGATAAAAAAGAACTCAGTGTTTTTTTTTTTTTTTTTTTTTTTTTTTTTTTTTTTTTTTTTTTTTTAATTTCAAAGAACAAATTTTTTTTGTGACACTGTTCAAAGCATGTTTTGTCTCTTTGGTACATGCATAGACCTACATTGCACGTTTCGCACATTCATCTTGTTTTATGAGGTTTCTTCCTTATGCTACAAAATGTACATTGCATGTATTTAAATTTCCACTGGTATATATCCAGCGTTATTTAGTTTATTTTTATCTGGCACATGAAATTTGTGATTTTTTATGTTAATGGGGGAGGCTTGGTCTTTTTGGCTTTGTACGGATGGTTCGTTTCCCATTCATACTTATTTTATTCGTATTTCGTCCCAAAATATTCAGAAAATATTTTTAATTTAAATAAAACTTTTACGCAATTTCTATTTTTAATTGCAGCAAAGTATATTTACATTAAATTTAACAACAGGAAATAACTTATAAAATCACAATACTAGCTTGGGGAGCAAGTGTGTTGTTGTCAGAGAAAAGTATTTGGAAAAGAAAGACCTTTCTACTGGGCAGGTGCATGTATTGCAGTGTTTCTTAACATTTCTAGCTAGTCGCACCCCATTGAATCTGAAAATAATATCTCCCGCACCCCACTGAAAAATGTGTTTTAATTTTTTTAGTCTAGAAAAATACATTTTTTGCGAAACTTATTGTTTATTGAAAAACATTGTACATTTTATATAAATACAAAACAATATTATTTTTATTAATGACTAGTCTGTTGTTGTTTATTCATTATTATACTGGCGAAGCGAGGTTCCTTTTTTGAAAGACATGCGCGTAAGTCATCACTTGCATTTAAGCGATTTCTCGCGTTAGTTTTTATATGCGATGAAAAGCGATGAAAATCCCATTTCGCACAAGTAGGTGGTAGCAAAAGGTAAGAGTAACCGCAGTGCTCCGTTCGCCAACTCTGGATAACATTGTAAGTCTGAATACCAGAATTGTTGTAATTCTAATTGTTCGAATTCCATTTGAACATGTCCAGTTGCTCGCATTTCAATAAGTTGATCTTTTTTCAGGTCACTATCATCCATCAAATTTAAGTCAAATAGAAATGGATCCAGTATCCATCTCTGAGTTTTGGTAATATTTCCGGTAGAAAAATATCCATTGAATGATTCGCTCAATCGTCTTAAATGTACAGTAAGACCCCGCTTAACGCGGGGGATACGTTCCATCAAAGTAGAGCGTAATGCGAAACAGCGCTAAACGAGGCTATCTTTACATGTAAATATTGGGGTTAGGGGAAGATGGCTAGGAAATTGGTTAGGTATTAAATTTAAAAAGTATGTTTTTTTAATAAAAATAAAACCAAACATTTATTTCTTAAAGCCCAAATTAATACCACATTATTATTTCTTGCAAAATAAAAACAAAATATAAATAACAAAACGAATATTCTTAAAAAAAAAATAAAATAAATAAATTCTCAGTCAGTCATATTTAGTTAGCCTTCCGCGTTTTCAGTGTTCTGCCTTTTTGTGACAAAAGCATCTAATGTTGTTTGCCTTTTTCTTTTGCGTTGTTCTCTTAAAAGTTCTTCATAAACGGATAGAGCATCTCTAACACCACGCCTTACTTTTGAGCTCCTGTCAAAATTCGGATCATTTTCAATGAATTGATCCATTATTTCAGTTATGGTAGACAAACTCCTTTTTACAAACGCCATCGAAAGTTCTTTTTGCTCTTCTTCTGAATCACTGCTGTCAACATTTTTGTTTTCTTCTTGTTCAGTTAATTCCTTGAGCTCATCATTAGAAAGACTAGCCGCTGCTTCTTGAATTATTTCTTCGACATCTTCCACATTTACCCCTTCAAAATATGTCTGTACAATACCGCACCAAACAAGAAATACAAGTACACTCTTTCGGATATGTATTTGAAACCTATCGCTGCATAATATTTCGTGGAATCCCCGGGTTGAAATTAAAGAGCGCTAAACCGAAACAGCGCTAAACCGAAACAGCGTTAAGCGGGGTCTTAGTGTATTACAATGTCGGATATAATTGTGTTCTTTTCATTTTTCTCAATAACAGAATCAAGCAAGGGAAAGTTTGCAAAATTCCCCTTTTCTACTCCACGTATCCAAATTTCTAATTTTGCGATAAATGAAGATAATTTTTCACTAGATATTATTATAGTTATACCAAATCATTGATAGATTGATTGATTCAATTCATTTAAATGGCTAAATATGTCTGCTAAGTAGACCAACCCCAGCATTGCATCATTACTCTCAAAATCTTTTACTAAATAACAGTTTTGACTAGTGAGTAATTGAATAATTTCCTCACGCAATTCAAAAACTCTGTTAAACATTCGACCCTTAGATAACCATCGTATTTCGGTGTGATATAGGAACACGGTATGATTAGGACCGATTTCTTCGCAAAATGCACGAAAATTGCGATGATCTCGCCCTCGGATGTATTTTACTACATTTACTGCTGTAGTTAGATGTTGTTTTAAACTTTCTGGAAATGCTTTCGACGCAAGCGCATGACGATGCAACATGCAATGCGTTATTATAACTTCCGGTAATTCTCTTTTCATGTGTGAAAAAAATCCTGAATTTTTGGTCTAACTTTGCTGGGGCTCCATCAGTGCATATTGAGCCAATCACATTCATTGGTAATTGATATTTAGTAAAAAAAAATCTTTGATGCGATTGAAAACATCAATTCCTCTCGTATTCACCTCCAGTGGCTCACAAAATAGAAATTCTTCCATCACCTCTTTTTCCTTCACATACCTGACAAATACTTAAAGTTGGCTACAATTATCAACATCAGTTGACTCATCCAGTTGCATGCCTAATTTAGTGAATTGATTTTTGTGTCTTCAATTACTTGCATTAAAATATCTTCACTGAGATCTTGTATTCGCGATCATATAATGTCATTCGATAATGGAATCTGTTGGATTTTTGTATGTGCTTCCGAATCTAA